CGGTTTTCTTCGGGCACGGGCTCGGGTAGCCCAAAAATATTAATCCCCCCGACAACCCGCCGCCGTGGAGAAGCCGTCCCCTGCCGTTCGCCGGATTTTTTTTGAATTTTCCGACAATACCCGAAGCTGCCCGAATTTGTGCCCGAACTGCCCGAATTTCTGTGACCGTTGCCCGAATTTTTGTGATCGTTGCCCGATTTTTGCCCGTTGCCTGAAAAATGCTCGATTTTTTTTTACCGTTAGCCCGAAAAAATGCCCAAATTTTGAACAAACGGGTCTTTTTTGCCCGAACCCGACCTGAACCCGAATTTTGCCCGAATTTTTGAACCAAACGGTCAGATTTTGTACCGTTGCCCGACCTGCCCGAAAAATTTGTAGCCGTTGGACCTGAATTTTTGAGAGAAAATTTTTTTTTTCAACCCAAAAATTTTCTTATAAATACCCCCCTCCCCCCGACCATTTTTCTCACCCCAAAACTCTCATTCTCTCTCAATTTCTCTTAATATCTCTCAATTTCTCTTAATCTCTCTCAAATCTCTCTTAATCTCGCTTAAGTTGATTAAATTGTGTGAGAAAGATTGTTAGTTATGTTTAGAAGATGAAGTAACGGATAAAATGAGCTAATGATAGCTCGGGAAACACAGAAAATAAGGCGAAACTCCGCCGAAAATTTTGTTTGAAAATTTGTAGTTAAACCTAGTTTTAGTTCTAGAATTTGAGGCTAAACTTGGTTTCAGTTCTAAGTAGAAGTTTTACACTATTTTCTTAGAAAAACACTGCATAATTGTTAAAACAGTTTTGGTGTTGAACAAAAGAGTTCATTAAGGAACTCGAAATATAGTCTGAAGAAAGTATTTTGAGTTTGGACCTTGTTTAATGGAAAAATAAGGTTATGAGAATTCAATAACCTAATCTTTAAGTTTGAAACAAGGTTTTCCATCCTCTAAGGTAGGAAAGAGAAAAAAAGCCATAAGTGGAGAAATCAGATTTTCTTATAAGCTTGGTAAAATAGAATAGCAAGTGATAGTTAATCTCACACTCTTAGTGGATGTTTATTCTCATATTGCATACACCTTAATAAGTCAAGGAGAACTTATAAGAAGAAACTGAGTTGAGTGCTGTACCAGCCTCCGCGAGGGAGTTAATCAGACTCCGCAAGGGACATAAAGGAACAAAAAAGGGTCCTCCGCAAGGGAGGCACTCAGTTCAATTTAAATCACGGTGTCGTTGGGGACCTTGCAAACCCTTACGTCCCGATGATTGCGCACAAACGGTACGATCACTCGGGCCCATTAGTAAGTAAGATAAGTTCAGATAGTAAAAACATACAGTAAAACTTTGATAAGACATCATAAATCATCATAAGTAGTTCGTGCATATCATTCATGTGAAATTTCAGTTATTTTGCGAGTAATAGTTCTTACTTGCTGAGCGAAAGCTAATTTCAGAGTATTTATACTCTAGGTAAGCAACCTGCACATAATGTTTGATGGATTGATGGCGAGGCAGCGGGCGAGCGGAGTAGAGGTTGGGGAATGGATACCGCACGCAATTATTTCCGCAACAATTTAAAGTTTTAAAAAGATTTTGTTGAATATGTGTATGAACTTGTGTTTTGAAAGTTTGTAGTATGATTGTTAAGTTTGTGTAAGCTAACAGGATTTTGAGAAGTAAAAATATAACTATGTGTAAATTTATGTTTTAGAAAAGGAATTGATTTTGAAGTATAAACACTTTGCTATGTTCAAAAGTGGAAAACTAGAATTTATGTCGTTACAGAAATTTTTAAAGAATGATACAACATTCTATATAAAAAAATGAATGATATAGGAGAAAGAAACTATGCCCAGAATGCTACAGGATTTGCTATAGCAATTGGTTTCAGAATGTTACAGCAGTCATCATAGCATTTTATTTAAGTTATAAGAAAATGCTACAGCATTCTATACAGCATTTTGAAGAAAATACTATAACGTTCTATACAGCATTTTAAAAATAAAATGCTACAGCATTCATACAACATTTTTAAAAAAATGCTGCAGCATTCTATATAGCATTTAAAAAAAAAGCCCCTCAAATTTTGAGAGTTTCAAAAATCATATGTTAAAACTAGTTACAGTGACGACTAATCAACAGGATCGTTACAGTTGGTATCGGAGCACAGTTATAATTAAGTAACGGCCACATAGTCAGAATCGTTACATTACATTCTTGTATTCATGAATAGGTTCCACATTGATTCCCAATTTCCAAGCAAAACACACACCACCAGACATCCCATCTACTGGAACAATTACTTTATTTGGGAATCCCCAAACATCGAGGCCGTTGAGCAGGGGCATTACCTGGAGTTTATTTTCAGACAAGAAAAGACAGTCAGGTTGCTTCTCCCGCACAATCGCCACAATATCACAAACTGCCGCAGGACGGGCGAGCCTGCGACAGTTCAGCGCCATAATCCTCATTTGGACAGTAGAGGTGCCGCTTGGCTTGTCTCCGCCTGGACATCACTAGTGGTAGAGCTGGACGAATCATACTGAGTTGGGATAGAGCCCTCTGTGATGGCAACTTCAAAGAGTTCACTGATGGCTGCTCAAATTTGCACCGTTATTTGTAACGAAATTGCAGGATTTAGCTTTGCGGCCTTTGGAACTGACTAGGGGATGCTGGATTCGATTCATAGATTTCAAGGGATCTCACAGATGACATGATTTGGCCACTGATTCCTCTTGAAAGGTTGGAGCTATAGCGTTTGGGCCTTGTAAGTTGGGTTGATCCGGAGCCCTAAAGTGTGATGATTCAAAATCGACCACATTAATTAGATAAGGTTCTGCTTTTCTTTTCCTGTGGTTATGGGTTGTGCTTTGGAAACAGTCTGTCACACTAGGAAGTGGTGGGAGTAAGATGTCCTTACTATGGTATTGGTTCATAATACCCAGTTGCAGCATAATCTCTACAGCTTCAGCAAATTCTTCTGAATTTCTCGAAAAACACGTCAACGTCTGGTGGTCCCGAGCTCTTTTCCTCATTTTCTGAAAAGACTGAGGATGTTCAGTGTCAGAAAGTTGTGCGCGCACCTCCTCTGCATCATCAGAGACATGTCCTTGCGAAAGTGGCACAACAAATAGTACCAGGGCCAGAGTCCCATATTCTTGCATCTCCTTATTGTCGGACGTAGGTCCCCGGATCTCCCTGTCGCCGGATGTAGTTCCCGGATCTCCCGGGCCTCTCCCTTCTCCAGCACCACCATCTGATAAGTTGCCGTCGAACCAAGAACCTCCTCTCTACGAGCGCGTCTTTTCTCTTTTAACAACTCATCAATTACTGCACGAGTATTTGGGGCTTTGAAAATTGTGAAGCACGTGCTCGAGGTTTATGAGTTGAGCCACCGCCCATATAGAAGGCTCAGCTTTACATTTCCCAGTGTCATGGTCAAGCATCCCACACCGGAAACATATAATGAGACATGTGTTCATATTTGAGTTGGCACCATTCCTTGCCCCCGTCCACTGATACTGAACACTCAACAAAGAAACTCACCGGCAGAGGTTTAGAGATGTCAATGACGACCTAAGCCCTACAAGATCTCCCCTAGAAAACTGAGCCCTTCTTTGGAACATCCACCTGTAAAACAAGACCCACTTCCTTTCCCAAGGTGAAAGCATTTTCCTTTGAGAAAAAATCCACCTGCAACCCATGAAATTGAACCCAGAACTAGAAGAGATTGAATGGAATTCTGTCTACCAGAGTAGAAAGGGGCCAATCCCGTATCAGAAGATGGGCTCCATTAACCGTTCAGGCTCTTCTTTGAAAAACCCATTTCTTATCTGAGCTGCTCCGAAAGTGTTCCTCGCCCAGCTCGCGCACCGTCCAGCCTTTTATTCCATGTCAGGAACGTGAAAGAATCGCCTGAAGAGTAGAGACCTTGAACAATCAAGAAGAGAAAACCCTTGCTACCGCTACAGTTTCAGCTTGGGCTTCCAAGATTGCTGTGTTCGGTTTGAGACGACGACATCCCTCCCAGCAAAAACATCTAGGAAGGATGTGAGCTACTCGCCATGAGCAGGAGAGGGAGAAATCTGGTTTGGACGAGGCAAGGACCTAGGGTAGGCTAGCTCAAGTGAGTCTTCCTACATACACAACTCATAGGGCGTGAGAGTGTGGGTATCAAACAATGGAGATAATTATATTGGGTTACAATGTTGTTTATTGTCATCAATTTAAATTAAGAGATTCACTTAGTAATAAATTAGTGTAGATTAATTATGGTGAATTTGATGCTCTAGTATTTTTATTACTTGTTTTGTCACTTTATTTTACTTGCTTAGTTATTTTTATTACTTCCTTTTATTCATTACTTATTTTGGTAGTTCATATAATCATAGAGCTAATCAATTTTAATAATTAACGAAAATTAAACACATTTCTCATGGGATTGACATTCTTATTTACATTTTATTATTTGAAGCAACTTGTGCACTTGCGAGCACAAATACACGCGACAACAAGGAAAATTTTATGCAGAGCAATCACAGATGAACTTAACAAGCTAAACAATCATCTCAAAAAATGATAAAATAAAAAGACAGAATTACATGGTTCGGTTTTCTGACCTGCATCCACGGGCGATCTCAGGAAGTATTTCACTATGAATGAGAAAATTTGTACATCCTGATTTCTACCTTTTTTTTTTTTTGGCTAAATGATTTCCACTCAGTTTCTTTCCTTTTCAAACGGGTATTTTTCAGTAAATCACAGTCTATCAGAACACTCAAGCTTACATACAACAAATGTTAAAGAGAGAATACAAAAAAAAAAAAAAAAGAAATAAGAATTTTTCCGCTAAAACTACTTATTCAGAAGAATGGAGTGAATAGACCTCCAACATGTGATGTGAAGCTCAGACATCATCATGTCCTTTAGTAGACATTTGGTTCATGTATTCAGAATTATAATTCAAAACTATTCTCGTTTTACGTGTGTTTTTTGTGAGAGAAAAACACTGTAGAGAACTATGAATTTTAATTCAAAATCAGGGATGAATACAAGAAACAAGCATAATGATTGAACTTGGTTTGCATCATAGCTGGGCTCCATTGAGAGCTTTTTCCTGCAAACATGTTATTGCATCAAAACTAGAAATTAGGAAGTATAATTCGCCCAGTAAACTAAACACTTCTAGTGATTTTCTAGAAAACACCAAACTTAGACATTATTTTAGGCTGCTCATCACATTTCTCTAATTATTATTGGACAGAATGAACATTATTATCAACAGAGGCTACAGTTGCCAAACTAATATGAATTCAAACACGACAATTTCTGACAAAATGGTATGACAAGTTTCTTTCCTTAAATTCAACAAAAAGATGAAGGCAATCGAAGGCGTTTCTTACCATCTTTTTTTAGTAATATCTAACGTGGAGGAGCTAAGGATTAACTGCCTCTTCTCTTGATTTCTGGATGTTCTGTTACGTAACATAGCATGCCAACATGAAGCAAGATCAGATGCAATATTCAGTTCCAAATACGATGACGAAAAGATGTTTTTAGATTTAAAATATTAAAGAGAAATATAAGTTTGAACTCGTTTTTAATCTAGTTTTAGAAAAGTTTATTTATTACTACTATTTTTTTTCTCTTATCAGATTAACGTTTTGTAATAACTTGTATTTCTGTAGTGTTAATGACCAATAAAAGAAAATAATGCGAGGAATTGAATCATAATGTCTATAAATAAAACTACTTTTTATTTTTTATTTTTTTTTATTTTTTTATTTTAAGAAAAGCCAGTTCTGTTTAGCTTTTCAATTTGATAAGGTTTTTTACAAGGCATTTGTCCTAATCAGTCCTGTGTTAGTTCTCTACACTATGGCATGGCACAAGAAGAAAGTTGTCGAAACAAACAAGTTTAGGGAACCGATGCACATACCTTTTCGATGGACGAGTCACCTCTTGAGTTTGAATAATCCTCCCAAATCTTTTGGACTGTCGAATTAATATCACCTTCCCAAATCTGTTTTCTGGGAACACAATCATATTCAATTCTATCCATCCACCGTTTTCCAACCGATTTGAACATATCTGCATTCACTATTCCCACGAAAATTTCATTTAACTTTTGAGTGGTTATAATTCCACGAGAGAAACTTCTCATCTCAGAGCATTGACTTAGAATCAGTTTTTCCAAAAGTGGCAATCTCATTGCAGCATTACCAGAGTAGAAGCTCCCGAGACTAGGCAAATTGTGAAGAACTACAATCCTCAATCGGGCGAAAGCAAACTCATCCTCTGTTTCACCTTCCTTGCATGCTGCTATTTCCCTTATTTGTTTACAATCATCGATGCTCATTCGTGTCAACTGAACCAGACTTTTGGCAGTCGAGGAAGACAACAAATTTGTCATTACATTGCAAGATGATACTCTCAGATCTTTCATATTCCTGAAAGCCTCTAAGAATGGAACTAACTTGTTTAACCTTCGACAGCGGTACACACTAAGGGCTTCTATATTTTGGAATGCCTTGCCTGGCTTGACATTTTCTGCATTCTCAAACAGATGCCTTAAGTTACGAAGAGACATTAATTGCAGTGCTCTCACATGCAGGAGTGGCCCATCAGGTTCTTGCAAAGCATTCGTTTCTTGATGTTGGCATATTTCTTCCACAAAATAACCCTTGAGAGAAAGCTCCTCAAGATCCTTAAATCTTTGAATGAATTCAAACGGGAAAATAGCCGCCTTTTCATCATTGTAGATCAGCGTTAGAAACCTCACCATGCAAAAGTGCACTGCTGAAGACGCATCTTTTTTTTCACGCCCAGACGGTACAACAGTGGAAATTCGATAAAATCTCCAACGCAAAATTTCTCAAGTTTTGGAAGATTTCTGAGCACAAGAGTGCTTAGTTTAGGGAAACATATCCTCTCCAAACTTCCTTCTCTTTGTTCCTTTGTGATTAGTATCTCCTCCATCATCATACACCCTTGTACATTTAGATGCTTAAGATGTGCAAGGTTTCTTGCTATATCAAAAGATAAGAGATGCTTTAGATTATTGCATTCGAACACCCACAGCTTCGTTAAGTTCGGCAAGTGAAAAGTTGTTGGAAGTTGGTCTGAGAACAAGTCTTTGAATTTCATTCCGGATAATTCCAAGGTCTCCAAGCGAGGGAACACAACCTGCAAATATTATAATTCCAAATTATATAGCCTAATAATTTACTTCCAAATGTTCTCTATATACGTGAACAGTACTTACTACTTAAGAAACTGTATATTCTATGAAAAAAGCTCCGGGAAGTAAACTAGTCTGTTTGTCCAAATTAGGATAAGAAAAAAAATGCCTTAATTAATGTCCGGTTGCCCACTTTTTGAATATTTCCTCCAGTTTTGTTTTAGATTAATAAAACAATATAATCACAGTAATTGAAAAATAATGGTATAGCCTTTCGATTAAACTTTTTTTTTTTTTTAAACTAATCTAGCCTTTGATTGACAACAACTGATATTATATACACATATATACACGAATTTAAATTCAATTTAGTGGCCTAATGTCCTAAATATAAGAAATAAAATTACGATTTTATCAAAAACTGACTAGTTATAAGATCAAACATTAAATGAAAGAAAAATTCTATTTATAAATATGCTCAATATTACTGGCAGTCAAAAATGATTAGCTAAGGTACGAAATAGAATTATAACGAACTTTATTACCTTCTTGCTAAATAAAGGCATGGGATAATCTAATAATGAAGCATCACTTGTCTCCATCTCAGACCGAAAGAAATCAACAAGCTCTGGTAAATCTTTTAGAATCAAGGAGCGCAATTCAAGAAACTCAATCTTATCTGCAGAATTATGGGCGTCATGTTCAATTTCATGTGTCTCCATCTCAGACCGAAAGAAATCAACAAGCTCTGGTAAATCTTTTAGAATCAAGGAGCGCAATTCTAGAAACTCAATCTTATCTGCAGAATTATGGGCGTCATGTTCAATTTCATGTACAACTATCTCTTTCATCACCTTGCAATTAGTCACTGTAATTTCTTCAAACTTTCTAGCGATAGATGAGGAGAAGAGATTCTTCAATCTGTCACATCCTTCTACTGTTATAAATCTTAATTTGCCGAATGACTGTGCTGTGAGTTTGCCACAATATATCTTTTCTAGATTCATCAGTCTAACGAGACACAATTGTTCCAAGTTCTGAAACACACTACAAGGTTGAGTGCCCGTTGCATTGACAACATATTGAACATCATTGTTATCTCCAAACCCAAAACTCTTCACTTGTCGAAAGCCCTCCTCATTTAACTCATAAACAACATTGTTAACACCCGCGAAGCCATATAGGTATAGTACTTCAGATCTTTTAATGATCACCTCAAGACCATACTCACTTGTGAGATTGTGCCCAGAGAGCGTAAGATGCAAACTATTGTGGTTCTTGAACTCTGATTTTACTATATGCGGATCATATGGCATGCCAATCGATAATTCAAACCTCTTCAATTTCTCGCTGAATAAGGCTTTTGGTAAAACATTGATGTCTGCTATACTTAAACATACAGTGGACAGAAGTGGCAAAGTTTTCAACTCAACAAGACTGGCATTACTTCGTTCTCCATGGACTCCTTCAGCCTCCCATTTTAGAGGGACTCCTTTCATATGCAACTCCTCCAACCTTAGTAAACTTGAGATGACACCAGGTTGGATCACCTCTAGGCGCTCACAATAATTCAAAGTTAGCATTTGTAGATGAGTTAATTGCCCTATATGTTTAGGCAGTTCTTCAATTTTGGAGAAGGAAAGGTCAAGCATCTTTAAATTTTTTAGCTCCCCAATTAAAGTAACCTTTCCCATACACCGATACAGGGACAACGCTTGAAGGTTTTGAAGTAGACTGAAAGACGTAGGAAGCAATCCTGCATGTACTTTATTCAAGCGTAGCACTTTGAGCTCTTTTTTCTCTTCAAAATATTGCTCAGGAATTTGTAAATGATTTCGACTCTCGCCGAACACAAGAAATAGCTCAAGCTGAGGGCAATCTAGTTTTTCTGGGAGCTTGTTATCATCTTGGCCAACAAATAAGGAAATTGCAATTGAATCTGTGAGTCTTTTCTTGGGAGAAATTTCTTGATCAAACTTCTGAATATTTGCAATATTGTGCATTTGTCTATCTTCGGATGCAATTGACAACATAACATCACGAATAATATCATGCACTTTCACAGCTGTGCCATCAAAACCACCATCTAACAATAAACAACGCAATTTTAGTTTATTAACTATTGAGTCCACCCGATTTCTTGCCTCCTCTACCGTATAGACTTCACGAAACAAGCCCCAACCCACACCATATATCATTAAATCCTCAACCTTTATGATGGCATCTTCTCCATGTAAGCTACAGAGCAACAACAATGACTTTGCTTCGTCGTCACCTTCTAAAAAATCATAACTCAACTTTATGCTCGCATATACTTTTTGATCTATTCCCTCTATGTTTGTTGCGATACTCCTTTTCAATTGTAGCAAAGCGTCTTCCCAAATTGACAAGCTTTTATTCTTTAATGCATGTGCAACTGTTGTTATGGCAATTGGCAAACCTGCGCATTCCTTGACGATGTCTCTCACCAAAGGTTGGAACTTAACATTCTCATTAGATATGCCTGCATTCTTCTTGAACAAATCCATCGCTTCTATATTCCACAGCACTTTAATTTCCATATTCCTATCAGCACCCATATGATCTTGTAGAACATTCAGGGATCTGGAGGTCAATAATATCCTGCAGCCCTTTTGATCATCATCAAAATCAATTCCCACAGCTGACAAATTAAGTTCTTTCCAAACATCATCTAGAATAACAAGGATATTCTTTTCTTGACTTAATCTATGCCGCAACCTTTCCGCTCTCACAATTTGGCTTTTGATCTCATGGAATTTTTCTAGACCCACCTGCTCTGCGATTTCTTGTTGAATGCTATAGACATCCGGAGTTTGGGATACAATTGTAAAGGCTACTTTATCAAACAACTTTTCTTCCTTGGCTATTCCGGCAACTTCTTTCGCAAGCATAGTTTTGCCAATGCCACCCATGCCGTAGATCCCAATCATCCTAGTATTAATATCTTTTAGAGCCTCTATGATTTCTCTCAGAGTTTGAACTCTTGATTCAAAGACCTCATAGCCTTTATTCACAACAGAAGTAGGAATACAAGGACGATAGGAAACCTTGTCAAATTTGCAAGCCTCAATTTCACTCAAAACAACTTGCACATCTTCTTTGCTTTCCTGCTAAGCTGATGTCGTGACAGCAAATTCGGAAATGCCCCATTGTTACACGAGCATCTTGCCTTTGCGTGATCTTCATTTTGCAAAAAGTCATCATATTCTTCATTGATCTTGTCTACATTGCTTAGCCAGTTTTCAACGTCGCCTTCAATTTCTTCACCATTTCTTCTAGCCTCCTCAATGCGATGCTTGTCATCATATTCTTCATTGATCTTGTCTACGTTGCTTAGCCAGTTTTCAATGTCGCCTTCAATTTCTTCACCATTTCTTCTAGCCTCCTCAATGCGATGCTGCAACCTATCTTTGGTGAAGCCCAACTCTTGAATTTGGATTCTAAGGTTATCTACATTTTTGTTATAGTAATATAGATAACCCAATTGGCGGAAAAGCGGTTTGACTGTATACTCTGCAGACGTTGCAACAATTGAAGTAGCAATTCCAATGAGAAAGTCCATGCTTTCAAATGTACTGTTTTGGCTATCCTACTTGTTCTTGCTCCCTCTATGATCTCTGTCTTCTTATCTTTTCTTAGACACTACAGAAATTATATCCAAAGAAAATCCTCAATTAGCAAAGAGAAGAACAAAATAACTGCAATAAGATTCAACAAAATGGATAGAAGAGAGACAAGAAAAAAAGAAAAAATAATGGCTGACACACATACTTAACAATATCGTCCTAGGGATGTCCACATAATTACCTGGGGCACACATAATTACCTGGGGCGGGCATGCAGGTTTTGCGTCCCCACTTCAATTATTATTTTATAATATATCGTTTTATATTTAATGGTGTGCCCACTCAACATATATATAAATGGCAAGGTCTTTAAACCGGCACTTGTATAATTCAGCATAAATCGTGTATATTTACATGTAAATATGTATATGCTTTTATAATATATCGTTTTATATTTAATGGTGTGCCCACTCAACATATATATAAATGGCAAGGTCTTTAAACCGGCACTTATTATTTACCGGATTGAAACGGCAGTTGTATAATTCAGCATAAATCGTGTATATTTACATGTAAATATGTATATGTTAAGTTATAAAAAACAACAATGTATATTAATCCTCGAAACATGTATTTTTTTTATAGCAATTAAGTGAACACATAGCCTAAAAATATGTATATTGACTGATTTGTTGTATTTCATGTTAATAAACGTAAGCAACAATGTATATTAATTATGGAAACATGTATTTTTTATAGTAATTAAGTATAATAATAGGGGTGCATTCTGATGCCTCAAAGGTTTAATGCATGCAAAATGAAAAATCATACATGATTTGAAAACAAGTGCAAATTACAACATCAGTTAAGTAAATATATAGATCACTGAAGATTTTGAAGAAGAATAATCTTCTATTTTTCTCATTAAATTAATCGGTAACCAATACACACTTATATACACGATTTACATAACTAACAAGGGTAACAAATCCTTGAAAATGAGGAAAGGAAACTGTTACGTTCCTGCACAATTCAATAATTCACAATAGAAAACAAACTGATTTGCTTGAAGAAGAGACTGATTCCTTTTATTGATTCAATCCAACAAGTTCTCCGAAAGAGGGATTCCTCTTCAGAACAATACAAGAAAAGGAAATAGAAATTGAAGGAACGATAGAAATGGGGAGATTCGAGGTTCCCAGCCTCTAATGGTCTGAAACAGAAAATACTCAATTCCCAGACAAAATCCACTCACGCCCTACCCTGCTCCCTAAATACCATTCTGCTCACACTTGTAACTAACTTGCCACCTCAGCATCTTTATTCCCTAATCCCAATTCCTTCCCCTGCTTCCTGCAATTTACCCTACTTGGCCAAAAGACCACTGCTGCCAGCCGTTTGTAGGTGCGGACAAAACCCAAATGGCCGCAGATCACCGAGTCATGGAGCTCATGTACCAACCGAGCTATCCAAGGGAAACCCTCCACCAAAACCAGCCTGTCCTTGTAAAATAACAGGTCGTTCCTCAGCGAGTACCCTTCCACTTCCTCTCCTTGTTCCAGTTTTGAGATAATGGCACCCCACTCGGGCTGGTTGCGCTGCTCCAATTGAATAGCCGCAAAATCCCATGTTTGTGGTACAGTGAACGCTGCCAGGGAAATCTTAGCCCAGTCCCCACGGCGGGACAACGCATCAGCCACCCGGTTGGAGGCCCCCATCTTGTACTGCACCTCAAAATCGTACCCCAGCAATTTATACACCCAGCGTAGCTGCTCGGGAGGGAGTTGGCATTGACTCATCAGGAACCTCAAACTTTGCTGGTCGGTACGGACCACAAAGTGACGTTCGAAGAGGTAAATTTCTGGACGGCTAAAACCACCCCCATGAGTTCCCATTCATACACCGATTTCAAACGGGAAGGAGGGGCAAGAGCTTTACTAAAAAAAACAATGGGACGGTCCGCTTGCATCAACACCGCCCCCAATCCGCTTCCAGACGCGTCAGTCTCGACCACAAACTGTTTCAAAAAATCAGGCATGGCTAGAACCGGAACGTGAGTCATGGCTGACTTGAGCTCATTGAAAGCGCGGTCTGCCTCTGCCGTCCACATAAACCCCTTCTTCTTGAGCAATTCCGTTAATGGTCTTGCAATCATTCCTTTTGAACGTGGAATAAAATAACACATCAGCACTGCTTTCGCCATCAATTAACACCCTTTCGACTACCAATGGATCATCATGCGGAGTTTGGACTGGGGCTAAATCTTCCGCCCCAAACTTAATTTATGTAACTCTCTTCCTTTGTATGCCTGGGAGGTTAATTGTGCACACCTCTTTTAGGCATTCTCCTTTACGTTTCTTAGCATTAAGTCCAAATCCATGTATCTCCTACGATTCTTCTCTACCATGTATTGCAGAAATTGTTCGCATATCTGCCTTTGGTTGGTTTGGTTTTGGTATTTTTGCGGTTCCTGAATTTCTTGCGGTTTTCTAACATACTGCAATAGTTGGCCTTGGCACATCATTGCTTGAATTTGTCCCCTTAGACTTCTGTATTTCGCAATTGTATGCCCATAATCATTATTTAAGTCACATATCTTCGTGCGATCCCTTCTTTGCGAATTAGATTGGATTGATTTTGGAGGCCTGAAGATCCCGAAATGCTTGTTCTTTTGAAATATCTGCTTTGGAGTTGTATTCAATGTGATAAGATCTAAGCCAATTCTCAAGAAATGAGAAGAATTGAGAAGAGAAAGATGAGCTTTTATTGAATTGAAGAATGAATTACAGAAGCAGTACTTTGATGGACTGCTGGTCCTCCCCTGCTTAGCTAATGAGCCAAGACTTCCCAAAATCACTCGGACTATTCCTGACCTCTCTCAGTTCCCCAAACCCCCTTTTAATATCCCCTGCATTCTCTAACTAATTCCCTAACCAACTAGAATCCACAGTAACTAACTAATAACATCCTTTCTAACAAGCTACTAACTTCTCTAACCAACTAACAAGTTCCTATCACAATGGTACTTCGTCTCTAATTGTGTAGGGTTTGAATTTTTTATTCTGCCTTTCTTCTTCTATCTGAGATATCGTTAAGCGTTTGTCTACAAAATTGTCATTCCAGTTTGGCCTAGGATTTTGCATGCTGTCCCATGGCCTTTTTGTTGGAACAAATCTCTCTCGTGGCCTTGTGTCTCCCAGATCAGTGTTCGACAACGTGGCTTTCGCTTTATGTTTTCGATACCCAGCTTCTTCTGCTTTGATGCTTCCCTCTGCTTCAAATATAATATCCGCCATGCTGCTAGGTCTTCTTCTTGTTAGAATCTCGTGTAATTCATGTTCTCTCAGTAGTCCATCTCTAAATATCATCGGTACAAGTTTTGCATCAACATAGTCACATTGATTCAATTCTTTCGTGAATCGATCAAGATATGACTTTAAGTTTTCTCCGACTCTCATCTTTACATTCATCAGGTTCGCCATAGTTTTCCTCTCCTTCCTATTATGATGGAACTGCGAAACGAATTTGTTCGCCAATTGTTGGAAATTACTGATCGAGGCCTGCTGTAACTGGTAGAACCAAATCGCAGCTGTTCCATTAACATTCTTAGAAACACTTTGCAGAGAAGTTTTTCATTCCGATTCTCTAAGAGCATGACCTGTTGGAATTGATGAAGAAAAACATGTTTTTCCTTCATACATCTTCATTTTTGGGACTACAAACTTCTCCGGTTTCAACTCGTCTAAAATCTCATCCGTAAATGTAGATTTTGCCATGCGCTGTGCTTCTCAAATTGCTAATTCCACCAGGGTCAGATTCTTAATTTCCTGAAGTTGTCCTTCCAGGCGATCTTGTAACTTTCTCATTAGATCTTCTTCATCCGGTACAACAGGTTTTATGTTTGGACTTCCGGTCGGAATCTTTAGCAAGGTGGACTCCAGTACTTCCTCCGGATACCTTTTTTGAGACTTTTCTTCCTCCTTTCGCAATTTCTCTACGCGAACTCCTTCTTAAATCATAGTCTTAACACTAATTTTAACCGTAATCAGTTTTCAATGCAAATAACTCCTTTCAGCAAATATTTTATTTCATTTTGGTGCTTCTCCCTAATCACTAGCATTTAAGATAATTCTCCAAAAAACAAAAGGGATTGTTTATTATACTATACACAACATAATTAATTTGGGTTTTCAACAGATTTATTTTTTTAATTTTTTATCGGCCGAACAATTCCTTTTTTTTTTCTTATTTCGAAATTACACCCAAAAATCTGACCAGAAAGTCATAACTTTTGAAAATTCTTGCAAAAAAAAAAAAAAAAGCTCTTGTTAGTAGTACATGATGAAAGAAAGAACCTTCAAATCATCATTTTTCCAGAAATCAGCTGGGTTGACACAGAATTTGAATAAGAACAACAAGAAAGAAGGAAATTGACACAAACAAATGAGCTGATGAGCATCAAATTTTAACAGACCATAAATCATGAGAATAATTGTGAAACATAATAATACGCAAAAAGTACATTACCTGATATATCCTGCGGCAACAAATAGAGACGTTACCTAGCTTGATGAAAGACAGAGCACGTTTTGCAAACTAGATTCCGGAGCCAAAACCAGG